GCTGGAGGTGGGGCAGGGCGGGGTGGGGCTCTAGACTTCTACTGGATGTCCTCCAACACAAAAGACCTCCGAGAGCAAAAGACACTGGAGCTATCAGCAATCAAGTGGAACTACGCTCAAGACCCGTGTGCAGTCCACGCTTCCATGTCACTGCACCCACAGAAGAACTTTCCGGATTCTCAGCCAAGTGGATTCTGGGAACTCAGAGCAAGCACTCGCTGAGCCACCTGGCCAGCCTTTCCATTTTTATTTTTGAGATAGGGTCTCTCACTGAACCCAGAGTTCCCAGTTTCAGCGAGACAGAGGCCGGTGGGCCCACAGCACTACGATTACAGATGTGACGCAGGCTGGGTTTCCACCTGGGCACAAACACAAACAAGCACTTTACCCATGGAGCTATCTATCTCTCCAGCCCTTTTTGTTGGTTTGAGACAAGATCTCAATATGTAGCCCAGGCTGGCCTCAAATTTGCAATCTTCCTGCCTCAGCCTCCAAAGTGCAGGGATCCTCATGCCTGGATCCACAAGTATCTCCATGACTGTTGTAGCAGTTTGTTTAAGTGTACCCCCAAGGAGCCTGGCTTTTGAGTAACCTCAGCAAATGACTAGCTCCTTCATTTCCTAAAATCACTTGCTCTTCACTGATAGCAAGGTCAAAACACTGTCGAAGCCGCGGTTTCTTTCAAAGAGCTCATTCATTTGCTGGGCGGAGCCCTACAGACAGGGAAAGGGGCCCCACCCCCACCCCCTACCCTACCCCCACCCCCTCGCAAAAAAAAAAAAAAAAAAAAAAACCGACGTACACACCATTCAAAACCACAGCGGAACAAACCGCCCTGGGAAACATGGAGCCGCCCAGGCCGGCCAGCAATGTGGAGCCAGGGTCTGGTGGGGGTGGAGAGGAGGCAAGGGGACGTGCGGCAGGTACCAAGCTTAGGATCCGCTCCAGGGAGGGAGGAGCCCCAGATGGGAGGTCCCCCTCAGTGCCCGGATCAGCCAATAGGGACCCGCTAGCAAAGCTCACCAAATTAGGCAAGCTGACTGCACGGGGCGGGACCCACGCTGCTGGCTGGGAAGTCAGGCCCTTTCCCCAAGCCTGCCCCGCCCTGGCTCCCGCTGCCTGGGAGAGGAAGGGCAGGGCGTGTTTGTAAACAGGAGGGCTCCACCCCTACACAGAAACTCAAACTGAAAAAGTCTTGGCAGGCACGAACCTCGGGCCTCCGAGCTTTACAAAAGCTCAATGGAATTCCACAGTGCGGAGATAAACGGATGTCAACAGAGATCTTTTGTTGTGACACTTAAAGGCCCAGGAGTCCAGGGCGGTCCCACCCACCATCTCTGCAGGTGACCAAGAACCCAGAACCCCTCCCCCATGAGGAGGGACCCTGTGGGAACTCTGAGGAGACAAGGGCCTGCTCCCTCCCAGCAGTATCAGGAATGCGGTAGACATAAGGACCGGACTCCAAGGAAGAGTTGGGGCCACCAGAGCACCAACTGCTGGGCGGCGGAGGGGAAAAGGGTCTTTACAACCAGTGTCCCACCTGACCAAAAGCCATTCTACACCCCAACTCGCCCAACGTCTTAACCAGGGGCTGTTGTTTGTTTCTGAGACATCTCATGGAATCCATGCTGGCTTTAAGTTCTCTACGCAGCTGAGGATGACACTGCTTCCTTCTGCCTCCACTTCCCCAGAGCTGGGACTGACGTGCAACACTGTGCCTCGTGTTATGCAGTGCTGAGGATGAACCCAGGGCTTCCTGTGTGCTTGACAGGCACTCGACCAACCCGGCAACACCCTAACCCCGACTACTGTTTTTATTTGGGCCATTAACGAAAACTACTTTATGAAGCCAGGCATGGTAGCACACATCTTTAGTCCCAGCACTCGGAAAGCACACACAGGATGATCTCTGAGTTTGGGGCCAGCCTGGTCTACTTAGTGAGTTCCAGGTCAGTCAGGGCTACACAGTGAGATCTTATCTCAAAAACAAACAAACAATGCTAAAAATAATACTATTCAACCCCATAATCTTGTACCCTAGTACTGGATATTTAACCCAGTGCCTCTTTTTCTTTTCTTTTTTTATTTAAAAAAAAAATTGTTGTTGTTATTGTTTTTGTTTTTGAGATGAGGTCTCACTATGTAGGACTGGTGTGTCTATAACACATTATGTAGAACAGGTTGGCCTTGACCGTCTATGCGATTCTTTGGGTTCCCCCTTCCAAGGGCCATCATGCCTGGCTAAACTCTTCTAGGCTAAGGAAGTAAGTGTCCTACCACTGAACTCATCCCAGTCCTCTTTATTACAGGACAGGGTACACTAAGTTGCCCAAGCTGGCTTTGGTCCTACTCAGTAGCTCAGGCTGGCCTTGAACATAAGCTTTTCCTAGCATCCCACTTTCAAGGTTGCCCCACTTGTTTGCATGTAAGCATCTTGTGCCTTTTAGTAGCCAAGTGATTTCCTGTCTAACTAACAGGCTGCAGTTTTCTTAACTGTTTGTGAGCCCTGAGTACTGGGGATGAGTTGTATGACAGGGACCACTGAGGCAGAGGGACTGTATGGAGGAACCAAATCATTTTACTCAAACATTTAATCAAACATTCACTCCTGCAATCTTAAATCTTAGCACTTGGGAGGCTGAGGCAGGAGGATTACTGCAAATTTCAGAACCAGCCTAACTACAGTGTGAGACCCTGTCTCAAAAACCAAAACTGGGGGCAGATGCCGGCTCAGAGGGTAAAGGGGCTTGCGGTTAAGCCTTACCACCTGAGTTTGATTGAGCCCCAGGATCCACATGATGGGAAGAGAAGTGACTCCCCAAAGTGCCCTCCCCCAACAAACAAATACAAATAAGCCAATAGAATGCTAAAAAAGAACAAATGAAATGAAATCAAAACAAATTACATGCACAGAACATCCCTACTGCCCTGACTAGGCGTGAACTCTAAGGAGGACTTGTGTTGGGGCCCCATCCAATGGATCACACACATGGAATCTGGGTGTGAGAATGGGGCTATGCCCAGCCTGAAATGACACTGGGAAAGCCATCTCTGATGAAGTGACAAGGCTGGATGACAAGTAGCAGGTGCTGAGCACAGGTGCTGGGCTGTCATCCCTCACTACCACCTTCCTGAGGGACACATGCCTAGGAAGCTGCTGTGATGGGACCTACCCAAAAGGACACAACCCATCATCCACGTGGCCAAGACCACACTAGGGGTCTACACCTGGACTCTGGGCTTGCAAGTTCCCAGGCTGTACCTCTCGCTGGTGTCAGGAAAGAGGAAACCTACTCCAGACAAGGGGCCCGTGTGCATGCATTTCATGGTAGGAAACAAAGTAAGTTCACAAAGGCAAACCGAGGGTTAAACACTACTCCCAACATCCCTCACACACACCCACACCCACACACACACACACACACACACACACAGTGTGATACTTTTAACCATCTTGGGTTTCCACCAGTAGGAAGGACATCCTCAGATGTGACCCTGACTACTGAACCTCTAGAATCGAGAATCAAAAATCTCTTATACATAAACTTAAAAATGGGTAAACTCCAGCCAGGTGCACATCTGTGGCAGTGCACACCTGTGATCCCAGCTGGTGACTGAGGTAGGAGGATCAAGAGTTCCAGGCCAGCCTGATCATCAGAAAGCTTCCATGTCTCCTAATCAAGGGCTAGGGGTGAGGCCCAGTGGCAGCTGCCTACAATCCCCTCACCCAGTGTGATGGTTTGAATAAGAACGGCTGCCATAGGTTCATGGATTTGAATGCTGGGCCCAGTTGATGGAATGTTTAGGGAAGATTAGAAGGTGTGTATGTCACTAGGGTGGGCCTCTAGGTTTCAAAGTTTCTATCAGGCCCAGTCCCATCCCCCCTTCTTCCCCCACCCCGCCGCCTGCAGATCTAACCACTGCCCCAGTGCCGTGCCTATACCTGCTGCCATGTTAGCCATGGATTCACCCTGAGACTGTGAGCAAGCCCCCCACTTCAATGTTTTCTTTTATAAGTTGCCTTGGTCATGGTGTCTCTTCACAGCAAGAGAAAAGTAACTAAGACACTAATATGTACAAAAGTCTGGGTTTGACTCCTAGCACTAGGGGGAAAAAAGGTTTTAAATAAAGAGATAGCATTAAGCAGACCCCAGAGAAGTAGGAGATATAGCTCTGGGGACCCAGTGAGGTTGCCCATAGTAGTGACCCATGGCCAGGGCTCAGGGATGGTACAACCCTGGCTCTGCTGGAGAATTGTTCTCAGAAGTTTTTATGGGTCCTCAAAATCCTGCCCCCCAAGGACTGTGCCATACCTATGCCATAGGCACAAGAGTATCGGCCACTATCTACCATCTCTATAGGGCTGGCCTGTGCCCGGAGCAGAGGTGGAAGCCACAGGGCTCAGGGGCACCATGCCCCAGCACCTGATGGTGGCACAGCGCTTTTAGAAGCATCACGAACATGAGAGGCAGTGAGAGGGAAATCTGCTTTATGAAAAACACCTGTCAGATCTGAGTCCCCCGCGCCCCCCACCCCCACCCCTTCTATTTTGATATAGGGTCTCATGTAAACCTGGCTGGCCTTGAACTCACTATATAGTAGAAGACAACCATGACCCTGCATCCAGGATCGTAAGCATACACCACAATGCCCAGTTTATGATGTACTGGGGACCGAACCCAGAACCTACACACTCTACCAACTGAGCTACACCCCAGCCTGTTTGCTCTTGAGACAAGGTCTCTCTCACTGAGTGGCCAGGATGTTCCTGAATGTCCATGTAGCCTGGCTGTGCACGGGAGATACTCCTGCCTCAGCCTTTGGAGTGCTGGGGTTATAGGACGGGGCCACACACCCATTCTCCTACTTGCTTGAGTTGAGGCCCCAACTCAAATCTACAACCTGGGCAGGTCACTCGAGGGTGACTGTCCCTTGCAGGAGGACCTCCCAGAGACTAGCTCCATTCAGAAGAACCTGGGCACGAGAGAGGGGCGGCTCACCTGATGGTGCCGGTTGGGGAAGGGATGGGGCTGACGAGACTCCGGAGGTCCGGCTCCGGAATGTGGATCTTCAGTGGGGAGATCTGAGGGTAGAGTGGCCGCAGAGGGGATGCTGGGGCCTCCTCCTTGTGGTACAGGGATGTGAACTGGATCTTGATGGCCGTGCTCGGGAACCGGAAGGTGCATCTGCAAAGAGGAGAACGGCTGGTCAAGCACAAGGTCCTGGGTGCAGGGCTGAGGTCCCACCACCCACATGGCAGGAACAGCAGGAGCCTCGGGCTTGGTATTCCTGGGAACACACTTCGTCTTACTCTGGCATCAGCTGCACTCTGCTTGTAAACAAAAGATGTAACTATCCCCAGCAGATGCCACGAGAACCAACCCATGGAGCCTCAATGTACCAGGATAGTAATGGTGACAATGACCGTGGTTCCTGACCCTCAGAGGCAAATAGCTAATCGGATCCTGCCCACTTACACACAGATCTCATTCACTTGTCACTCACTCATTCACTCACTACTCAATTACTCCTCCAGCAAAAACCAGCTAAAAGGACCCTGCCCCATTTGAAAACAGGCTTCACTCACTTACTCATTCTCCCATTAGAAGACAGGGTCTTCCTATGGAGTCCAGACTGGCCTGGACCTCGAGATCCTCCTCTCCCTGTCTCCTGAGTTGCTGGGACAACAGGCATGCAGCACCATGGCCAGCTTAGAGAGATTCCTTCAAGGTATAAACAAATGCCACCACACAAAGGTAGAGGGGTGCTGCAGAGACATTTGGGGGTGTCGGAGGGGGAGTGTGTTCTCTAACTGGCTTCTCACTAAACTTAAGGCTTACAAGCCTAGACCAGGCATATCTACTGAGTGACAGACAGACAAACTAATCTGACCCTGGAACAGCCAAGGAGGACCCGTCCACAGCAAAGACCACCCCACATACTCAGACAAGGTGACCAACTTCCCCCATCTCTAAGAAACAGACATTATTTGCTGGGCACACCTCTAATTTCTAGCTTTGTATGTGTGCAGGTGTGTGGGCACGTGAAGGCCAGAGGCCATGCTGAGTGTCCTCCTTGGTCACTCTCCACCTGAATTTTAAAGGGTCTCTCACTGAACCTGGAGCCTGCCATTTTAGCTAGACTGGCTGGTTGGCAAGCTTAGGATCTGCCTATTTCTGTGCTTGTATACATATAAAATAAATAGATACAACGGGGGGGGGGGGAGAAAAAAGATCAGACTAATTCTGGAGGCCTTCCTAAATCCCTCTGCTCATCACCCTGAATCACTGGGGCCTCACAACTGAAAGTGGGGTTTGCTATGCAGATGGGGACCACCCGAGAACATGGGCAGCAGCCCTTCCAGCCTCTTTGTCCTTCCTTCCTCTGCGCCAACTCAGTCGGAGGGCCCGAACAACAACCATCTCCAAAGGGGCCGCCAGCTGAAACCACGATCCCTTTAAAAAGGGTGGTGTGTGTGTGTGTATGTATGTGTGTGTGTGTGTGTGTGTGAGAGAGAGAGAGAGAGAGACAGAGACAGAGAGACAGACAAACAGACACACACAGACAGACAGACAGACAGCATGCGTGCGCGAGCCCCCATGGATGCTAGAAGAGGCTTGGATCCTCTGGAGCTAGCGTTATAGGAGGTTGTGGATGCTGGGAATTGAACTGTGGTCCTCCTGAAGAGTAGTATGTGCTCTTTAACCCTGAGTCATCTCTCCAGCCCCAACAGTCAAGATTCTAAGAGCTGGAGACACAGGTGAGAGGTATGCCCCTGCCTCAAGTCCCCCATTGAGTAGCTATCTAGCAAAGTGCCTCAGAGGGAACAGCCATGTACCACGGAGGTCCCAGAGTCTACCTCCAGTACTGCCAAACAAAACCAAACCCAAGATGAATGTGTGCACGTTGATCGAGATTTTTTTTTTTTAGTAAACAGCCTTCCTTTCCTCCCTTCCATTAATGGTGCTGAGAACATGTGTTCCCATGTTACAAACATCTGATTTGATCCCCAGCACCAAGGGAGGGAGGGAGGGAGAAAAGGCTGTTTTACTAAAAATCTCTCCCATCCCTAACTGAGGTCCTTTGCAGCACCACACCCCACTGTGATGGCAACCCCGAGAAACACGTTCGGTGATAAGCATCTTCAGCTTGCTTGCTGGAACAGCTCCTGACTTACTCTTCCAAAATTCAACCCAGGTAGCCACCCTGTCACCATGAACTGGTGAGAATAAAGTGCCAGCCCCTTGGCTTGGCAGAGCTGCCTCCCCAGGGCACTCACAGTGTCTTCCACCACACCCCTCCCTGTAACATCCCCACTTAGAGTCAGGGACCTTGGCTATTGTCTTAGTTTCTTTTTCTGATGTTTATCTGTAGCCCAGGCTGACTTTGAACTCCTCCTCATCCTCCTGCTTCAGGTTCCCAAGTGCTAGGATTACAGGCATGTGCCATCATGCCCAGCTTAAAACCCCCACCCCTCTAACACACTTTTTATTTTTATTTTATTTTATTTTTTGAGGCAAGGTCTTCCTGTGTAGAACTGGTCTGGACCTCTTGGCAATCCTCCTGTTGCAGTCTTCCAAGCAGCTGTGATTTACAGATGTGAGCCAACATACCTAGCTCCGAGCTTAGCGTTTGTCCTGACCTGCCATTCACAATGCCTAGCCCACCCTGCTGAGGTCAAGGTACCTATCAGATAGGGATCCTTCGCTGTCCATCTTGGAGTCTATCATGGAGACAGGCTCTCAAGTCAGCACCCATCTAGGGGGGAATTTTGCTCTTTTGTTTGTTTGATATTTATTTTATTTTAAAAACAGGGTCTCTTTTGTAGCCACAAAAACAAAAAAAAAACAAAAACAAAAACAAAAAAAAAGACCTGGCTTGCTCGCAAGCCCATGATTAGGAGAACCAGCCCCTGTAAGCTGTCCTCGAATGTAAAGGAGACAGAAAGCTGTCTGGGTTGGCTGGGTTGGGGAGAGGGCACAGGCGCAGAAGGGAGTGGCTTCTTGGGTGTGAACAAGAACTCTATTCTAGCACTAGCCACTCAACTGGGAGATTTAAATGACTAGCTCTGTGGCAGGTAAATTATACCAAAGTTCTGGCCTGAAGGCTCACAGGCAGAGCCAATGACTGAGTCCCACCCTGTCTGGAGGCCAGGGGCTGGGCTGACGGGCTGGTTTTGTCAGGAGGTGAGAACACTGTATCTAGCCTTGGATCTCAGCTCAGGACACAGTTGGCTTGACCATTATAGCCTTAGCTGGAGCTGGTGAGGTGGCTCCAAAGGAAAAGCGTTTGCACGATAAGCACTGGAGTCTCTAGAACTCACACAAAAGCTAGATGCCGCAGGGTGTCTGTAATTCCAGTGGGGGGGGGGGAAGGTGCCCGCTGGCCCACTGGAACTCATGAATGACTAGACACAGTGGAAGGAGAGGACTGACATCTGAGGTTGTCCTCTGATCTC